CCAGAATTCATATGACGCTGCTACAGCTGATATATATTTGTTGTCAAAATACCTTTTAGTACTTATGTTGTTAAAATAAAATGAACAGTCCAATGATCATTTTACTAATATGTATAAAGACGGCAAAGGCTGAAAAATCTTCAAGTCTGGATGAAACTGGAGGTAGTTTGAGGATTCAATTTTTTATGCTTTTTAATCTCGAAAAAGGTGGGGGTCTTATTATACATGAGATCATATTATACATGAATAAATACGGTACCTGGAATGCCTTACCACACCTTTCTTCCCCTTAAATCCAAAAGCCTCGGTCATTGCTGACTTGTAATCTTCCAGTTAAAGAATCTTATGGTTTGAAAAGTGTCAAACAGTAGAATGAAATCTACCAGTTTGACTTGAACAAACTTCACCTTCTGAAGGTTTTCTTTTCTTGAGAAAGACAGTTGATGTGTGCTGGTGTGTTGTCATCTGTTGTCTGCTTTGAGTCGACACTCGTGAACTCATTGACCAAACATGGAATGGAACAGCTTTCCATGGAACAATGGAAAATGGAACAATTTTTTTTGATTTTTCTAGCCATTGCTCTGAAAACAAAGCAATGGCTAGAAAACTCAAAAAAAATTTTTTAACACAACTTAGCATTATTTTTTAATTTCTTCTCAAAACTTTATTCTCATCTTTGACTCCAATCAGTTTCACATAGACACACACAGACAGGCCTGAAAGTAAAACTGCCTTCATGGTCTCTGAAACCAAACAAAGTACAGCAGACTGCTCTAAACAGAGACTACAAAACTAACAGCTTCTTTCTATATCATCATGATTCAACCTTTAACCTCTCCAGGCTCTTCCTGGTTACACCCCTGAAGGTTTTACGTTGGATGTCAGAACATAACCAGCTTTTGTTGATGCTAGACAAAGAACACAATACCACACACCAACTCTCATTCTCTGCTTCAAACTTAAGGCTGCAATGATCAGAAAGTATAAAAATACAAGACTGGATCTAACATTCAACATACCTGGGATTTTTTTATTTCTCTAACATATTTTGCTGGATATATAATTTGAAAACATGGTGGGTCATAGACTTAGATGTATCCAAACATTGGACCAGTACTGTATGTGTATATAACTGTTCAGCAGTCAGTTTTGTTTCAAGTATTTTTTGTCTTATTTAATAATTTGTATTAGTATCAGAATAGAATGAAAAACTGTGAAGAAAACAACAACAACCTGTCCTGGTGGTGATGTGTCCTGTGTTTGGGTGTAGGTGCACTCACAACCAATGGCATCAGTGCAGACACCAGCACTGAGATTGGACGAGCCAAGAACTGCCTGAGTCCAGAGGACATTATTGAGAAATACAAAGAGGCCATCTCCTGCTATGGAAAGGTACTGTCCTGTTATTAAAAACTCAAAAGTTATATATGTGCTGTGTTGATCTGGAGCTTTGTGAAGTTCCTTTATACTGTAAGTCAATGGTCCCCCAACCCAGGAGGAGAAATGTCCATTTGAATAATTGAAATTTGTCTAACTCAGTTCTCTTTTTTCCTTTTCCAATAAACTGTACTGTTTAACTGTATTATTTAATTATTTTGATAAAGAGACAAAGGTTGAACTCAGTTTGGATTTGGTAGTAACAAAGTGAAGCTTTGAGGAAAATAGTTTGGGAACCACTGTTATTRAACTAGACACAGAAAAGGAACCTGGCAGTTGAAACAATGATTATCTCGACACTCACTAAAATCTGTGCAGTGGTYCATGGGATATTTTGCTAACAGACACTGATGAATCTAAAAGTCAATGCCAAGGTTTTTAACAAAAATATTGCCGAAGTGTAATTCTGAAGTACAGGTGCTGGTCATAAAATTAGAATATCATGAAAAAGTAGATTTATTTCAGTAATTCCATTTAAAAAGTGAAACTTGT